GTCCTGGAAAGGAAAAACTAGAACAGCAATGGTTAACCAACACCCAAAACAAACAAAAATGAGATGGTCCATGAGGGTTTAGCATCGTACGATGTTAACAAATGCAGCCAGCCCACGGGCGTAGACCCGGTCCACGGGGACAGAGCGGAGAGGAGACGAAGGGGATTCTTTCGACCTGAGAATTAGATCGAATCGATCTGTTTATAAAAGAGAGGGCATCACATCCCTCCCCTTCCTTTATCCACCCCATCCAAATCCCCCGATTCCTCCAACCCTCCCAGACCGCAATGGCCGCCGCCGCCGCCGCCGAGCCCTCCTCCGCCGACAGCCGCCGCTACGTCGTCGGCTACGCGCTCGCGCCCAAGAAGCAGAACAGCTTCATCAAGCCCTCGCTCATCTCCCGCGCGGCGGCGCGCGGCGTCGACCTCGTCCCCGTCGACAACGCGCGGCCCCTCGCGGACCAGGGCCCCTTCGACCTCGTCATCCACAAGCTCTACGGCCACGACTGGCGCGCCCAGCTCCAGGCCTTCTCCGCCCGCTACCCCTCCGTCCCCGTTATCGACCCGCCCCACGCCATCGACCGCCTCCACAACCGCATCTCCATGCTCCAGGTCGTCTCTGAGCTCGACGTCCCGCTCACCGACGCCGCCTCCGCCTCCGCTGACGGCGAAGGCCACCGCCACACCTTCGGCATCCCCAGCCAGGTCGTCGTCTACGACGCCGCCGCGCTCGCCGACTCGGGCCTCCTCGCCGCGCTCCGCTTCCCGCTCATCGCCAAGCCCCTCGTCGCCGACGGCAGCGCCAAGTCGCACAAGATGTCCCTCGTCTACCACCGAGAGGGGCTCCGCAAGCTCCGCCCGCCGCTCGTCCTGCAGGAGTTCGTCAACCACGGGGGCGTCATCTTCAAGGTTTACGTCGTCGGCGGCCACGTCACCTGCGTCAAGCGCCGCAGCCTACCGGACGTTTCCAAGGAGATCCTCGAGGACGCCGCCTCCGAGGGCACCATCTCCTTCTCGCAGGTATCCAATCTCCCCAATCAGCGCACTGCCGAGGAGTACTACGAGGACATGCGGCTCGAGGACGCCGTCATGCCGCCCACCGATTTCGTCAACGAGATCGCAGGCGGGCTCCGCCGTGCCCTGGGCCTGCAGCTCTTCAACTTCGACATGATCCGGGATGTTCGTGCCGGGGACCGGTATCTCGTCATTGACATCAACTACTTCCCCGGTTACGCGAAGATGCCCGGCTACGAGATTGTCCTTACTGATTTCTTCTGGGATATGGTTCACAAGGACGACGTGGCCCTCAAGGAGGAGGAGGAGCAGAGCAATCATGCTGTTGTGAAATGAGATGGATTTGCTAGGCATAGCTTGCTCGCAAACCTGCAATTCTTTCATGTCTGGGGGAAATGTGAGGTGGCAGGATGGTTACAAGACTCGAGGGGAATAACAAGCAACCAATTAGGATGGGGAGATGGGGATTAACAGGTTCTGGATTTACTTGGGTTTCAACCAGCCGCAAGCGGAGGACCTGCAATGTAAATCCTCTCTCCTTGCTCCTGTCATACCGGTTGTTTAGGTATCTTTCTGTTCTTCGTAATTTGCTTCACCCAGTTTAGTTAGAACAAAAGTGGGGGAACGGAAGCCAAGTTCTGAAGAAGGTATATTTGTTCTGGATGTGCAAATCTTTTGTTCTTGATGAGTACTGGATGAATGGCAACCAAACCTTAGTGGTACTAAATGATGAATATGTTTCCAATGATACTGGAGGTCTGAGTTTTATCACCTCCTCGAAAGAAAGGGGTTATGCAATTCTCTGAACTTTTAGCATTTGAAATGCAAACTTGAGTCAGCTCTGTCTGTGGCACTAGTTCTATCATCCAAAACTGAATTTTACATCTTTGATCAGAGTTAAATATGTACATGTACCTGCAATGATGTCATTTACCCTATGCTTGACTATCTGTTTTTGAAATTTGGTTGACTGGAGAAACTCTTATTTGCACATATGATTATCCTATGTGAGCATGGATTCCTGCTTAATACTCCACTTTTTTATGGAGTAACATAATTTGAAGCGTTTGTAAGTTGCATGAGGGCAACCTTTCCACATATTCCTTCATAATTTGAAAATTTTAACCTTGAGTGCACTTGCATGTTTTACTGGACTCTCTGCAACTTCAGATTATTGGCTGCATCATGGCATGTTTTCCTTATAGCGATATTGTGATAGTGCCTTACTTTTCTTTAGAGTGTGAAAACAGCAGGGAAGAATTTGGCTGTTATCTTTATCAGTTTCAGTTGAAAAAGTGAACAAGATAGCCATAAGTATTTTGCATTGCAACCATTCATTGCTTTATTTTACTTTATTTTTCGGCTGCTCTAACTTCATGTTCTGAATAATGACCTATTTTCCTTTACTAGAAATTTGTTCAGTTATTGGGACTGTGGTTGATGAATATTTACAACTTCATGTGCTGTTGAAATAGTGAAGTTTTATTTTGAGGTTGAAAATTAGAGCACACATGACACATGATGCAGTTTGATGAGTACTGGATGAATGGCAACGTCAAAGCAGGCACCATTGCTCCAGTTTGCAGAAAATTCAACTTCTACTGGGGCAAACAAATCCGGAAGTTGCAACTGGAGCAATCGTGCTTGCTTTGACGTATCGGTTCTGACAAACTTTTTCAGCATTACGCTATGGGCATATTGACCTGAAAACGTTATATCCAGCACCCCCCTGTTGTGTCAAGGAGAATGTATGTAGCTCTATAGCATCAGGATCAGTACCAGTTAACTAGAAATGTTATACTCTGTTTATAATTTTTCTGTTTTGGAAAGTCTAGTTACATGGCCCTCTGGTTTGCATTCTCCGAAGGCACCTGAATCTCGGCTGCCTCCCCATTTCATTCAGTACGGCAATGTGCAGCTCATTTCATACAAAAAAGGCAGCAGTGACATAATAGAAAGAACTTGTACGGCACAGCAAGAGCCGTCTTTCCTACACACTTGTAAACTCAAGATGCAAAGGCAAAAGGGCAACTAAACATCATTTGTATAAATGAAACTCGAAACAAGGTAGGCAAGTCCAAGCAACGATTTGCTTAACTCCTTGAATTTGACAAAAGAAAAAATACAGACACCACACAACAATGTTTCCTTCGCATCATCATTTATTAAATGCCTATCAGCAACTTCAGAGGTAAGAGATGAGCTGCGGCAATTCAAGTTACTTCCTTCACTTCGAATGGAAAGATGACCTGCGCGTCAAATAGAAGGGCCAGTGTTATGGTCTACTTTATTCCAACAGATCACAGTCACCAGAATTCTTAGACAGTTGAAATGCATTTGCAAGGCAGAAAATAGAAGGACAATTAATTACAGACATATGAGACAAAATAATTAGCATAGTAGATAGTCGCTCTGTATCAAAATACAAGACGTTTTTTGACACTAACATAGTATCAAAAAGCGTCTTATATTTTGATACGGAGGGAGTAGCATTCAATGAATTTAAAAAATGGTGAGACATGCCAAGTAGATGCTCTAGTAAGTAGCAGTAAATAATATGTGCAACTAAATTTCTTTCACTCCGATATTAAGAAAATTATATATTCAATCAAAAGCGACTCCACGATCTTTTTTTTCCTGAAACGAGAAGATGATACGAGGCTTGAGTGGTGGAAGATGATGTTCCCAGTAAGAAAATCAGATAAACCCTCGTACTGTCTTACACGGGCTTTAAGAAACTGTTAAAGATGAATTCATGCAGTGGTTCTTCAAGAATGTGTGAGCAATTACAGGAAGAAATTAGCTATCTAGTTGTTTCAACTGTTCAAAAGTAACTTAAAAGTGATTTCAGACATTAAGTGTAGTGTTAGCTCAATTGCCCTATACAATGACAAATCGCTTAGTGATAGTAAGATACTCCTTGTATAACTCGACTCTGAAAGAGCAGACAGCCTGTGTTAGTCCATGGTACTATCTACTCCCTCCGTTCCATAATTCTTGTTGTGGTTTTAGTTCAACTAAAACCACCACAAGAATTACGGAACCGATGGACTAGTTGTTTCAACTGTTCAAAAGTAACTTAAAAGTTAAAAGTGATTTCAGACATTAAGAGTAGCTTTAGCTCACTCCCAAAAGGGGTGATGCAATGACAAATTGCTTAGCAAAGATACTCCTCGTACTCTGAAAGAGCAGAGTGCCTTTGTTAGTCAGTACCCGTTACCTGGGCCTGAGTAGCAGAGCACATCTCAGCAATCCAGCTTTACTAACAATTGAGGTGAACAAGGTTATAGCATGGATGTGTGAATCATGATATCCTTTCAGCGTTAGGCCAGATAAGGTATGATGATGGCTAACAAAATTATGAATCGATCATGATTTGATCCAGGGAAATATGACCGCAAGAACCAAAAACATCCAAAAATATTAGTTGTCTGGATATCACTAAATGTAAACACTACATAAAGTTGACTTCATGTAGATTTTGATTCAAATATCTTAGGTTCAGGAAAAATAAGAAATAGGCCAGCAGCAATAGTGAGTCTTAGCAGCGAGGTAACACATAGGGAAAACGATGCTAGCCCCTTAACAGATAACTCCTTTTCACCCAGGTTTGGTCCGGGGATAAGTCATGAGTCAACTTAGTGGGCATTAGAGTGAGGGATATTTCTTTGGGAAGTTTTAGGATTTAATACCGCTCGTCTGCATGACAAGCAGTATTTGTTGTTCGACAAGAGGAAAATCCATTTCAATACAAGCTGGAAAGAACAGTTTGCACACACAGTTAAGATGCCAAGACAAACACTCTTCCAGTTCAAACCCCTTCCGCCTTCCTCCTCAACTCTTGGACAAAACCTTTTGTCCTAGTTCAAACCCCCTTATAAACCAAAAATGTTCACCAGTGCTAATGTTTGGTGTTCTACTACTACATTCCCAAGCTCTCAACTATCTAAGCATGGCGATGTGACCCCAAACAGAGATCTCAATTGGTTAATGGAATGGTAAACATTTGAAACAAATCATGTGCATTTCACCATAAACTGCATCGAGCGTACATAATAACAAGAAGCACCCTGACCTCTCCATTCCAGGAACGGCAGCGGAAGCAGAGCTACTCCTCGACCTCAACCACCTTCTTGGGCTCTGCGCAACACCAAACAACCAAACCATATCAGCCAGTGAAACAAACGGAACCATAGCCTGCAGGCAGAGAAGGATTCGGGCGGCGGTACCGTGCAGGTCCGCCGGGCGGTGGTCCTTGCCCCATCCGACGCCGCGGGTGGACTCGAGGTACTGGTCGACGAGGTGGCGGCACTTCTGGTGGTGGTTGACGCCCTCGATCCGGTAGCACCAGCGGAGGCGGTCGCGGATGATCTTGGCGGTCTCGATCTGGATCCACTTCTCCCGCACCAGGTGCTCCCTGTACTCCAGCATCGCCACCGGGTCCCCGTACGGGTTCTTCGGGTCGAAGTCATCCGGCGGCCTCTCGTCGAACTCAACCTTCGCCTTCCGCACCATCTCCGATCGTCTGATCCTCCGCCGCCGCCGGCCTCTCTCTCTCCTCCCTTCTCTTCTTGGCCTCTGGGGTGGATGGATCTCGTCGTGGGGATTGGGAAATGGGGGAGAGAGACGAGCGGATGGCTTCCCACTTACAGACAGAGTGCAGTAGCAGCCCGGCCCATTTATATGGCCCATTTACACGGCCCACTTGGCGGGTTCCTATAATTCGCTGTTGAGTCTGACCAGTGACCACCCCTACGGAAAGGGCGCCGCGTTTCAAACGAGGCCGATCTCCGATGAGCTCTCCGGCGAGGTCGACCGTCTCGGCGGCGAGCGCGGGTGGCGGGATCGCGATCTCCGCTGCCGACGACCTCGCCGACTCGATCGACGCGCTCTACCGCAAGGACGAGGCCATGGCCGGTAAATCCATCCCCCTCGGCACCTCGCAAGCCCTAGTTCCCCTCCCTTCATGTCCTCCCCCTCTCAGTTAAGCAGTCGAATTGGTCTGTCTGGTTCCCCCGCAGAGCTCAAGTCGGAGGTCATGGAGGCGCTGCAAAAGGAGGTCAGGTCGCTCGACGACAACAGCTGGATGTTCGCCGCCCCGCGCTCCCGCATCAACCTCGTCTCCAGGCCAGGTAGCAACAGACAGCAACACCATAAATCTCACTCAAATACAAAATGGGCATAAGAGTTTAAGGTTGACTATGGTTTATTGTACCCCGCTAGGAACTGAGATTGTGGTGTAATACGATTACAAGAATGGGATACAAAATGCATAAGAATTTAAGGTTTGATTTCCGGTTTGGCATGTTCTTCTCAGGTGGTTACCTGCCCAAGCAACAGGGGAAAATTGCGGAGCTGGATCAAGCGCTCAAGAAGACAAGGAACTGCTAGGCATTATAGGTTTTCCATCCAGGCTGTGCTCCTAGGGGCTATCACCTGATTTCAGTCACCTGTAGTTGCATTCTGCTAAATCATTTCCAAGTACATGCTAGGATATTTAGGTGACCCAAGTGTGATGATGCTGTTCATAACTTGTTTAAATCATTTTCAGGTACATTTACATTTAAGTAATCCAAGTGGTATGATGATGTTCATCACTTGTGCCTTCTGCTACCAAATCCTTGCAAACTGATCCAGTTTTTTCTCAGATAAATCTTGAGATACAGTGTGTCGACTTTGTAGGTGAAACTGTCAAATATTGATAAGCACATGCACTTTCACTATCTTTGATCTTCAGTCTTGACCAGCAATACATCGTCGTTTCAAATATCACCTGTGAGTTGTACTTTAGAAAAGAGATTTAACTGTGTCATTTTTTCCTAGAATACAATAGCCTGGAAGTAGAAAAGATGCAAGGTGTATTTTCTTCTTGTCAACTGGGTCATCCTTTTTGTATGGGATTGTTTTGTAGCTGTTTGTGATCTTATGCATGCCTGGCTGGCGGCTTCCTCTTATGCATCTAATAAGTGATTCCAATTGCTTACATCCTTCAGACAGGAGAAGGTCCTAAAAACACATTATTACCTGAACACTTCTGAGTCGATCTTCAGTCTGATAGCCCAACACGGCACACTTTGATGTTGCTGCGGAATAACTATTGACCCAAATGAAGAATATAGGCTGGTTTTCTACTCAAAGCTAGACGATTCAAAACTATCTTTGCACCCATGATACTTCTGGGTTTTTGCTATAACAGCATACTTTTGTTATGGCCAGTGTTCTTGAGTAATCACCGCTCACCCTGTCCATCTGCCTCTACATCGTCTCTGCGGCTTGTTGAACACAGACTTGCAGTGCTATTTTTCTATACATACTAGTATGAGCTATTCAGTGCCCCACAGCTTAGTAATTTGAGGGGCAGGAGACAATTGCATTGATAATATATTGGCAAGCATGATATAAGAATGTACGGCCTAACTATGATTTTTCCAGAGGTAATGATTTGAAAGTTGAAACTTTATAATAATGTAGGCCGGTTTTCTACTCAGAGACACACATTAAAGCTAATCTTTGCACCCCCTGATACTTCTGGGGTTTGGTGGTAGTCACCATTCTCCCTTGTCCAACTGCCTCTGTTGCCTCTGCGGCTTGTTGAACACAGACTTGCAGTGCTATTCTATACATAATAGTATGAGCTATTCCATGGCCCACAGCTTAATAATGTAAGGAGAAGGATATAAGTGCTTTGATAATATATTGGCAATGGCAAGCATGATATAAGGATGTACAGTCTGACTATAATTTTGTTCCAGAGGTAATGATCTGAAAGTTGACACTCTAGAAGAATAACTTTTCTGCTAGTGCCCACGAGTTGCGCCAGTCTTTACTTTTCCACTGATGGTGTTCAATGTCAGTGTGAACCTGAAATTGCCTTTGCGAATGTGGTTGTCATCATGAGTAAACATTAGTTCGAAAGTGCTTGGCAACTGAAGATAATAGCAGGCCGCACTAAAACATAGATAAGTCGTATTTTGCTCATTCCAGTTAAAGACAGTGATTAAGGGTGTAATTAGTTCAAACGATACTTTTAGTTGCTGCTTTCTAATGTGAACTTTTCTCTTGAAGAAAATCCAGCGCGTATCTAAAATGATTGGCTATAAATAAACCATAGAATCATTATGTATTCAGTAAGATACAGTAAATGTTCCTGTTTTTTTTTAAATCTGTGTGAATAAGTTTTCTGTTAGACCTGTGTCTTAGATCCCTTCTGCAGGATTGTTTAGATTCTTAGGTGCCTTCCCCAGTTTTTTCACATTTTCTTGGTCATTTGTGTTTGGTTATGCGTGCTCTGTGCGTTTACCATGCAGGTCCAAATGTTTGTTTGAACTAATAATGCATATATTCACCAGTTGTAAGACGTTGTTTACCTGAGCAAGCGGCAGCCAGCGTTCTCGTGTTTAAAGCTCCTTGTCGGTGGATGTGACTTGCCGGGGGGAATGGGGTGCGCTGCTGATAGCACTTGTATATGGATCTCGTGCTGTGGCTACTGCTCAGTTGCCTGTGCTCCCCGGCGCACCACCGACGATTGCCACTCACACTTCTGTTACTTGCCTGGTTTTGTTTCAGACGAAGCTTTGTACTGTACGTAGTCTGGTAGTGTTCATGGAGATGCAGTTAATCTGTGTTTGCAGCGTGTATGCGTGAGACGCAAAGTTGACCGTGCAACATCACCACGAATCTTGCATAAGTGAGAGATGGAGGGCATAGGGAAAATATCATATAGAAACCAACATTTGATGAAAACCGGTGAAAACTACATGAAAAAGATGTTTTGAAGTTTCAAAAAATTCTAAAAAATACGGGACGTTGAGAGGGTGATGTTATTTTTCGCAAAAAAAAGAAAAGAAAGAAGAGGGTGGTGTTATATTGCCATGAAAAATTCCAAGTTCAAACACATTACGGGATATAATGTGAGCGGCAAAAATAACAAAATCAGCATTGAATAGTGCCAAATAGTAACGTCACTAGTCAGTGCTGAATTATTATTTTTTCATAGTAGTTCACATCTTGTAATGTGTTTCAACTTGACGTTTTGTGTGGTAAGAAAACATCACCCTCTTAGCATCCCATATTTTTTTCCAGTTTTCTTAATTTTTTTAAAATGTAGTTTCCATAAAGTTTTCTTTGAATATTGGTTTCCGTATGAAATTGGCATTTGTCCCCAACTTGGGTATAATCGTTACAACTGAGGCTTGGGGCTCTGTTCATTTTCAAGTTGAGCCAGAGCATCCAATCCAAGCCAATTAACCAGCCAGGCGCCCAGGCCTGGCTGCCCTAGCACAGCAGCAGCAACGTGAATGTACCAGTGTCCAGTATGTTGTGGGTTGTGGTCTGTCTGTCCACTTGACTGCTGCCGAGCAATAAATTTTCCCGTGATCTCCTGCGGCAGCTTGGCCCCGAAATCGAACGCTGGAGCCAGCTCATTAATTCGCTCGTTCGTTTACCCGCCCGTCCCATTCATTTCAATCCAAAAGGCAAAAACAAGAACCAGTTCAAAGACGATGGACAATCTGGCGCACCTGAACCAGAATTCTATCCATCAATTTCCTCATCAGTACTACTACCAATTACGGAAAAAGAATTACAGAATCAATAGCAGGTGAACAACCGAACGGAAAAGAATGACGATGGGGTATGAACAGATGGTGATTGACGATTGCGATGGGCGGCTGGTAATCTAATCCCAATTTCTAGAGGTCACAGGAAGACGAACGCTCGCGGCCATTCAAGTTCCACCAACGACGCAGCACGGGGGTGGAGGGAAGAAAGAGACGTGCGCTGAGGACGCGTCGTGCGTTCCAACGGCTAGCTGCTTGCGCGGACGTGGGCTAGCCTTAGCCTTCCCGTTCCCCAATTCCGCGCCGTCGCCGTCATTGCCGCGGCGCTCCCAGCCTTCGCCCGCGGCGCGGCGTCGGGTCCGCCTTCAGCCGCTGGTGCGCGCCGCCCCGCGCCACCGACGGCGTCGTGTCCGCTGCAGGAACGAATAAAGGAGAGAGAGAGAGAGAAAATCAAACGAGGTAAGAGAAGGGGAAACGGGACGCAGACGGAGACTGCTGTGTTGGTCGCGACTCTTATCGCCTACCTGTGGCCTCGAGGGAGCGGGCGGTGACGGCCAGGACGGGTGGCGAATCTGCACGGACGCGCGAGCGGCGTTAGGGACAGGACCGGCGAGGCGAAGGGAGTGGAGCGAAAGTTTGGCTGGCTACTTACCGGCGATGGCGCGGGAAGTGGCCGGGTCGTGGGAGAAGAGGAAGAGGACGAGGAGGCAGAGGAGCGTGAGGAGGGGGACGAGGTGGATGGACTTGTCCGGCGCGGCCGCCCTGGCCGCCTTCCCCGTCGCCTTCTCGTCCGCCTCGTCCGCGGCCGCGGCGGGGGCGGCATCCAGGCTGGGTCTCGAGCCCGGCGATCCGATGGAGAGGCGCTGCATTGCGGCGGCGGCGGAGGAGGAGAAGGAGGAGATCTTTTTCTTTCTGTTGCTACGATGCGGGGATAGGTGCGGTGCGGTGCGGTGCGGTGGGATGGGGTTTAACAGGGGAACGGGAAGGTGATTGTTGTACGCGGGCGTATTTATCCGCGGGGATTGAGACGAGATGTTTGCTGCAGAAATGACAGCGTGGCTTTTCCCGTTTATTAGTCCATCCCCTTTGCAAGGGGGTGCTTGATTCAGGGACTTTTTAGTCCGAGAGAATAAA